CGGGAAACTCCGGTGCTGGCAGCCTGGGGTGGAGCGGAATAAGGTTTCTGTCCAAACTGCACAGTCCTGCTTGCCGCTTGGAGAGGAAATGTTTATGCTGTGATTTTTACCTGATTTTTATCAGTCCCAGGCCGTTAGGCTTGCTGCTCATCTCGCTTTTAATCTGCACTTGCCCTTTCTCTGTCCCTTGTTCCTGTGTCCCACGGCACAGTGCAGTTTTCAGTCGTAATCTGTGTGGTGTCATGATAGACTACTCTCTGCTGGGAGCAGTTTTTAACTTGAGAAGTTTACTTTGTGTCACGGTTTTTGTGGGGGAGAGAAGGCTCTGTGTGCTCGTTTAAATATTTCTGCTCTCCAGAGCAGGGAAAGCATCAAAAGTAGTTTGTTTTGGTTTTCGTGTATTAAAATATCTGGATTTGTGGGCTCAACAACATTGAGCACAAAAATATCTGTTGAAACTATAGCTGTGTAGGTGAGAGCTGCTGTTTCAGAGAGCTGGCAGCGAAAGGCCACTGCCGGATAAGTTGGCCGTCCCCTGTGGAGCTGGTGGCGGGGATGGAGAGCCCTTGAGGCCCGAGAAGCTGACCTAGGCCGGGAGTGTCCTACCACAGTTTACAGATGTAGCTGTGGTGGGCTGCTGACACCTTCAGCTTCTTCTCTTTTTTTCTTAAGATTTCCAGAGGTGAAAGTTCAGTTCTGTGGTACTTTTTGTTGTACCAGAAGTCTTGATGTTTTATGTGCCAGCTGGGGATGTCTGTCGGAAGTTGGCGGGAGAGGTTGGTGGTGCTGGCTTGGTTGCTGAGCTAAAGTGCTTGCAGTGCAGTCTGAGCACTGTCTCCTTAATGGCTTTTTGGTCATAATAAACATCAATATGCTGTATAGGCTGAATTATTTACCTTGATATATTAACACAAACATTTCTTCTAAGTGTAATTGCTGTTGTACTTTAGAAGGAGCAGCGACTTTCACAGCTGACCAGTTTTGAATGCTACTTGTGCACATTTGAGGCCAGTCTAATGTGCAAAAGAATTAATTTGAGGAGCTGCTTCATTGTGTCTGTCTCTTTTTAACAGCTCTGGTGACAAGTCACAGGGAATCAACAAAAGCAGATGGCTGGAGGTGGCCCTCCTTACTTTGGAAATAGCGAAAGATGAGAAGATAAACACATTAGCACAATCCACAGAAAGTTACTTTGTGCTGTAGTCTGTTGGAACTTAATTTAGGAAAAGTTTGAAAAAATTATGTATTTTTTAAGCACTCTTAAATTCGCTATACTTACCTGATACTGAAAGTTCATTTTTCATAAGTGCAGGTACAGAGTTCCAAGTACAGTGGTAAGATATGGTTATAAGGTCATAACGTGCCAGCACGGGCTTGTGTGACATAGATCTGGTGCTCTGGCAGAACATTTGTGAGGGTTAAAAAGTCTGCACTGCATCTTGTGTGGCATGTCACAGGTATGCTAAGTGTAATGTTTTGACCTAAAACATAGCAGAGTTGGTTAAATTGAAGGCTGCCTAAACTTCAAAATCTGTTACGGACATATGGACTGAATCTTTTTGTTATGGTGGTTTTCTGAAGGTTTATCTACGTTTCTACACACAGTGTTTCTTGGGGATTTAACTTTCAAGATGAAAGAATAGCAATACCAACCTCCTGAGGAACATGAGTTAGTACTGAATAGCTGAAGGTTTGGGGGCTGGTTTTGGGGTTCTCTTAGTGTTGCAGTGAATGTTGTTGCTCACTAACCTTTTCACCTTGTTAGATGTCAAGACCATTTCAAATGTATTTGTCTTGTTGTGCATACTACTTTTTCAGGAGTGTGATGGCTGGCGCTGCTTAGTTTGACGCTCTCTAAAAGCCACGCACAATATCATGACTTAATCCCAAACCAGGAGCAGAACATCATCTGTGTGACCTGTACCCAGCGGTGTTCAGGAGTAATTCTTTAAACACAGTTTCAGCTTAAGTGCTTGTCTAATTTCAGTGATTTTATTTTTAAGGGTGTTTTTGTGGGTCTCTGACTGTCAAACTTTTTTCAGAGAGCTCAGAAGTGAGTATAATGGGATCAGTGTGGCATTCTTCACTTCTTTACACTCAACAGACTAATCCTGTTGTATATTTAGTACTTGCAAATCCTGGATTTTCTTTCCAGCTAAATGCAAGACCAGAAATGATAATTCACAGTTTCTGGGCTGCTGCGCCAATATGTCGAGGTATGGTAGGAAGAGGAACCTGAGAAATCTTGCACCTTTTGGTAATGTGAAGGTCATTAGAATGCCTGCAGTGGCAGTGCAGTTTTTCTGCAACTGTCTCATAGTGTTGTGAAGAATCAGGGGAGTTTAAATCATACTGCTTAGAAAAAGGATGTGATATTTTTTCTTCACTTAGCTTAAGTATGGGCATGTATTTTCAATTCACTTGATTATTGTGGAATTTATTTTGTACATTTATGAAAAAGTAATCTTAATTTTGAATGTCTGAAACTGGTGCATGGTTCATGTGTCATTAAATTAGAAACTGCAGGAAAACAAAGAACCATCTGGAGACTTTGTAGGGGGGAGGTTGAGATTTCTGGTTAAATGTACTATCCACACAGGAAAAATTATAAAGAGCATTTCAGCTTCAAAAGGAGGCAAAGTGTGCAGGGCATTTTGCCCGATTGGTTTAGTTTGTCGTTCGGTTTGGTTTTCTTTGTTTTAACCCTTCTCTTTTCCTCATTAGGAGAAGGACCAGAATGAAAGACATGGACAACATCAAAACTGTGAAGAAAGAATGGTAGGTGCCAGTTTCCCTCTCCCCCTTTTTCTTCTTTCCTGTTGTTGTTTGCGTGTCCTCTCCTGTCCTGACTTTTCAAACTTTGTTAAATTTTAAAAAATTAAATTTTGTTTGCTGTATTCGCCTGCTCCTCATACACTGAAGTTTTCAGAAAAATGACACTGTTGTGCTAAAAGGTTTTTCATGTACCTGGAGTGTTACCTAGATGCAGCGGTCTGCATAAATATTTTTACTTAGAGACAAGCAGCCTTACAAATTGCTAACTCGCTGTGCATCTCTGCGTTTCATATGGCGGTGGTTGATTTTCCAGTTGTGCTTCTAAGGTAAAGCATAGTGAATACCTTGATTAATGCTCCAACTTATTTTGTTCTATTATAAAACTAAAAAGAGGACAGCATACTTTTGAAATTTCTCCTGTAACATTGCTGAGTTTTTCTTGTGGTTAAAGATGTTAATCTGTAGGGATTCTTAGTGCTGCACAGAGGCACTGCAAACCGATTCCTTTCTATGCAAATGTGTCTAATTACCATTCAAGTAAGCATGGCTGCTTTTGAATTCCATGCAGAGTTTTATGTAAAACTGAGAATACTTTTCAAGAGCTGTTGTGTTTTTTTTTCTGAATTGCTTAAAATAGACTTTACTGAATCTCCAGTAGGAATAACTCTTGCACTGTTTATACCAGAAGCTGCATAATCCTCTTAGTATGCAAAGAACCGAAACTGAAAGATATCCATTCAGGTTGCATATCCTGCACTGTGACTGGTGAAAACCTAACAGAAACAGCTGTCACGTATACAATGGTCTATAAAAAGACATGGTTGATGTATTTTTTTAATACTCTTGCCGTCTCCACAGTATTAAAATCTTCGGTTGTATTTCGTCGTCATACTCAAAGGAGTGCTGAGTCGCATGTTCTTGAGTTTCTCTAATACGCTTTCAAAGGCAGAAATGGTGGTTCTGTGATGGGATATGAGGAGGCTCAAGCAAGAGTTTGGAAGTAAATCCTAGGGCAGTTTTCTTGTATGTGGGTTTTGAAACATATGGCAAAGGAAGTCACCCAAGCCTGTATCGTGGGATTGCTTTAAGGAAGGCCTTTCATTGGTGTGCAGTTCAGTGTCTGATGGCCTGAATTAGAAGTATGAATCATCTAACTTGCATTCCTTGCTTTGCTACCAAGTTTAGAAGCTTCTGCATAGATTAGGTCACCTTTTTCTGTTGTCACTCTGTAACTTGTGCTTCTGAAGTGCAAATAGTAGCAGCTGGAGATTCGTAAGCAGCTTCTAGAAAAGGCATAACGCAAAGCTGATCTGGTGTTTTATAACAGCCAGGTCAGCTGGTTGCAGGGGAGCCTGTCTTTGATACCTCTGGGTACTGAACTTCAGGGGTAACCACTTGTCCTCTAATGTGTTGTCTGAAGCATCATTTTTACTTATGTCTTTGTTCCGCAGGATGTGTAAATCGGGGACTGGCGATCAGATTTTGAGTGGTACAGAACAAAACTGTGACTACTTTGTAGATAACCTTTTTGAAGAAGCTCAGAAGGTTGGTGCTATATGTATGTCCCCAACTACAGTCAAGAACCAGGTAGGCGGTGAAGAAAAAATACTCCCATGGCAGTACTTGTGTCCATGTCTGAATGGGAAGTTGGTGTGGAATAATTAGTCTGTCTTAAACTTGTGTACTGGCTCAACGTAGAGGAACCTTCCCATGATGGAAGCTTCTTCCATATGCATTGGTGCCATAAGATACAAGACTCCTTAAAGGAATCTAACCTTGCTGAATGCTATATGCCTTTTTGAGAGACTACTGAACCAAGATAGAGGGAACTTTATTCAGCAGTTTGCATGTGCTGTGTATTTATGTAGCAATCATATTCTAACAAGTCAATTGAGAAAAAAAAAAAAAAGACTAAAAAAAAAGAGATAAAATTGTCAAGTGCTATTAAGCCTAGTTCAAACTAATTTCCAGCTGAGGTGAATTCTGCATTTATACATGCTTCATATACCTCACATGTGTCCAAGTATCTGTCAAGACAACATTATTTCAGGGTTCAGAGCTGGATGATCAAATGCTTCCTGAAATGGCATGATGCAAAAATACAAAAATGCAATCCCAAATATATCCATGTTAAAGTTGGAGAGATTTCAGTGAACAGCGTGAAGGCTACAAGTTAAAGTAGTGGATGTTCTCTGGCAAAGTTAGTTAATTACTGGGCATTTATTTTTTTATTCCCCTAACACCAAAGTTCTGAATACACTCAGGAATTCCAGGGTAACATAAATGTATGACTGCCTGAAAGTAAATTTTCCGATACTCGCTGCATTTCCTGAGTGAAAGGCTTTTGCATGCATTATCTCAATGCCTCACTGCCACAAAATCCTCCTGAATGATCAGAAAAAGGCTTTACCCTAATAAATCCCCAGCTGGACTATTCTGGTAGTTGGTATTCCAACACCAGGCATGTGTGCTCTCAAATTAGCTCTTGAAGAGTTGCAGCTGGCTGGGATCTTCCAGCTCTGTTTATTTTTTCATTTCTTTTTGTCCTGTGGAATTGAAGGAGTGTTCTTGACCTATGAAAGCAAAATGATTGGGGGAAGGTTTATTTCTAACCGTGATTGACACAAGATACTTAGAAATGTCACTTACCCCTTGCAGTTGCTCTGCCTGTTGACACGGGGCTGAAACAGATTACAGTGAGCCTTCTCTCAGTATTTTTAGTCCATGCAATGGATGATTTACAGACATAGGGTACTGTGGGTATACCAAGCTGATTTACATAAGTGTTATAACAAGACTTGTTCTTACTTTATAGGTTGATGTAATCATTAAACTTTGGAAAAATGGGTTTACAGTAAATGACGGTGAACTTAGGAGCTACACTGATGTTGCAAACCAGCAGTTCTTGGACTCAGTTAAAAAAGGGTGAGTGAGTTTTGTGTTCTTAACCAGCCTGAGTTAATGTGCTTTGGGTAGCACTTAGCTTGAGCTCTAAATTTCTTATGTAGGTGCTTGACTTTGCTGCACTGCAGTAGCCCTGTAAGAGCACAGGCCACTGCCTGTCTCAGTTCCTGCAGTGCGCAATTAATGGCACTTGTAACATCAGCGGGTTTAATGCAGTTTTCAGTTGCAGTAGTCGTACAGTTCTGATGAAATAGATAAAAGCGAGTGTTGCTACAAGGCACAGCAGGTGCAGAATGAAACAAAGAAGAAGTCAGAGTGCCCAGTATGAGCTACTGATCAAATGGTATTTGACTAACAAACTCAGTGCACAAATGCCTGAGCATTTCTGGATTTATGGTCTTTGTTAGGAAAAGCCTTAAACGGGCACAGTTGCTCCACATAACATCAGCAAGCTCGGATCAGTCTTAATTTTCAGTTTTTCTTCTAGTACAAACTTGCTATTTCAGTCATACGTGTGCCTATAGCAATCTTACTTTTATCTCTCAGTTAGAAGATAGCATGCTATCATGATTTCTGCTAGTACTGCAGTGTTGCTTTAAAAAAAGCATACAAACCAGTATAATTTTGAGCTTTTAGTTTGTAGTCTATAGACAATAGACAAACAAATGGAGAGGAGAATATAATTTTACAGAGAATAAAATTTGATAGCTGCTTCTGAAATATGTGAAATTACTAAGCCATTGTATTTTTCCTTTTCTATACTTTACTAGCCCATCAAAAATACTAATTTTACACACTATTTTCTCCACTATGGCTGTCACTTGTGTTAGCTGTGATAGCAATTAACTGCATTGTTAAAGTCCTTTGTTTTCTTTGTGTGCATGCATCAAAAGTTTGCTACCTTTTTTCCATTGTTTGCTTGTGAAGATGCTAATTACAAGATGGTTCCTGCATAATCATTGATGGTACAGAAGCACTTAGTACAGACCGTGTGCCAGCTGAGCCCCACCACCCGAAAATTTAGTACCTGCATCTGAGCTCATAGACAAAGGCGTTGTTGTGTTCTGCTTAATGCAAATAAAGCATTACCGAGGTGATGGTACTGCACTAAAGAGTGTAGCTGTTAGTGGTGATCTAATTTTTAGAAGCTGAGATTTGTGGGTTTTTGTAATTTATTGTGTTATGTCTAAACTCAGTTCTTTCTCTTCAAAAGCCAGTTGTCTTTTTTCTTGTTTTACTATGGGGATCTGATTATTGAACCTTTTGCAGCAGTGTATGGCAGTCATGAACTTCCTACGCATCTTGTGTTTTCGAGTGGTAACTGCCAAGTAAATTGAACATCATTCAACAACTTGCACGATGATGTCTTTTTCTATTGTTCACTTTCTAGTTAATTTGCAGTTCAGGAACTTGAAATTGTTTGTATGTCATGCACTTAACTTTTAGTAAATACTTGTGAAGCTTGTGGTTTGTTTTGTTTTTTTAGAGCATCACCCTTGAAAGAGTAACCACAGAACAAATATTAATCATTAATCTGTTTTGTCTACTGAAAACAGCGTAGTAGTTCTTTTTCTGACATGTATTTTTGTTTTTCTCAAGGGAACTGCCTTTTGAGCTACGAAAAGTTTTTGATAAGGAGGAGGTAGATGTGAAAGTGGAAGATAAAAAGGATAAGGTGTATTTGTCATCGAAAAAGCAAATGTTTCATCCCTTTTCTGGACATGGTTACAGATTAGGAAGGTGAGTAGTCTGACATCAATCTATGATTGAGTAGCTGAGGGGAACTGCATCTATGGTAAAGGATCTCATAATTCAGGTTGGAAGTGACCTCTGGAGTTCTCTAATCCAAGCTCCTGCTCAAAGCAGAGTCAGCCATGGGGACAGATGAGGTTGCTCAGGTTTTTATCCAGCTGGGCCTTGAAATACTGTAAGAGTGGGAGCTGCGCAGCCTTCTCAGTGCTGGACTGTCCTCATGGGAAAGAAACTCTTCTGTATATCCAGACTTAATGACTCTTGTTTCAATTTATGTTCACCATGAAGAGCCTGGCTCCCTCCTGATGACCTCCTGTAGAACTTGGCAGACTGCTGTTAGATGTCCCCCTCCCTGACACCGTCTCTTCCCCAGGCTGAACAAACCCCTCTCCTCACAGCGCATCCTTTTCTTTTGGGTACCAAATCTGAATGCAGTATTTAGGTGTGTCTAATGACTGCTGCATGGGTGGCAGTCGGCTCCCACAGCTGACTGGCTGTGTTCCTGTCGGTGCAGCCAGGTTGCTGTTGACTTCCATTGCACAGGGTCTCAATATTAGCAGAATTTTCTAGCTGAAAGGCTGTCACTCTTCTGCTGTGATTTAGAAGAAAAGACTCTGTTAAAGCTGTATGAGCAGTATTTGTGTAAGAAGAGGGCAGTAGTACAATCCCATGAAGGGAACAGAAGAAGTAAGAGGCTATTTTGCATTCTCTTGAAATTCCTCAGTATTTAACCATGCATTTATTGCAGTAAGACATTTTAGCGTGTTACATTGATCCTCTTTCCTTTACTCCATGACTTGTGGTTGGAAAGTGTTAGCCACTAATGCCAATGCTAAAACTGGAGTTGATTTACAACCAAACAGTACTGTATTTTGGAAGGCTGTTGAAATGGAGCAGGCCAGGAGTTCACATATTTGATCCTGTGACTTTTGCTTACTCCAGCCAAATTATCTGCTTTGCATATCCTTGTTGTGTAAGACTTAATGTGCCTATAAAAGCAGACTTCAGCCTAGAGAACAGAACATATTCAGTGACCAGGAGCCTACAGGAAGCCTTTGCAGGTGGGACTGCTTAGTGAGCTGCAACTGGGGTTAGTAGACTGTGGTGAAACCTTAGGTGAAGAGCTTGTTTCAACTGAGTGAAAGGGGCTTGCTGCTAAGGCCCAGTGCTTGTGCTGAGGGAAGGCGTGACCTGGGTAGGAATGGATGAGGCAGGAGAAGATAATGATAATGGTCAGAGTAAGAGACTGGTAACAGTAAAGGATGAGTGGTTCCGGGCTGCCTCAGAGAAGCAAGTATCTCTTTTATCAGCTTCATCTGTTCCTGTAGCACAGTCCATTCAGCTGCTACATGCTTGAGTAGATACGGTCAATAGGTAAAAATCTTCCCTTGAGAGATGGATGAGATGCTGCAAGACTTGCTTTTGGTAGCACCGAAATCCTGAGCAAATGAGTGTCAAGAACTTAACATTATTTTATGTGCAAGTAGAGCTGTATATAGCAAAAGCAAAAAGATCTTCATTGCACTGGATTTCTGCTGCTAACCAGTGCTAAATGGTAGGTTGTTCAGCTGCTTGTCGTGCTCTGTCATGCCTGCAGCAAGTAATGATCTTACTTCCCCATAGACGAGTTAGGTTCTGGAAACAGGCTGTTCTGTGAATTTCGATTGACTGGTCTTGTGCAATGAGACATCCTACAGCTTGCT